AGGAAACTTCCTAAATACGACTGACGTATGTCAGGGATGAAAGCAATCAGTAATAAATGATATCGGAAACAAAATAAAAATATCGTGGTTACTTGCAACTGTTATCTCTGGATAATATTAGTTTTCAATATTTGAAGTTGAAACAAATAAAAAGCAAAAGTATGTCTTACATTTAAAAAATATAACCTTGTAACTTATTTTGTAAACAAGTGAATCCAAATATTGCTACAGGCACGTCCTACAATCACGGTATCAGCCGCAATCTCAGCTGGTAGAAACTTGACATCTGTGATAAAGTTTCATTGTACATGAGTTAAAAGTTGTTAGGGAAATGCTCAGGATAAATGTCTGACGCGGCATTGAAATCTGTCCTTCTAAATCCATTCCGTATATTCTAAATGACTAAAAGGTTCGGTAAGACTAAACTTCGTGTCTTGATAAATGTGAATGTCAAATGAGGTCTCGTCGCCCTTTGACCTTCACACGGATACCGTACTCCGCTGCAAGAGGCTTGCGTGTCAGCTGCCATTTCCGATTAGGAGCCTGCGTGGTACCAGAATGTTAGTGGAAGTGCTTCCCGCACTTGTGATTAGTGCTTAGAATAACGTACAGCGCGACTTGGTCATTTCCTATTCCTGAAATGGCCAGCAAATGTTTCTTGAGGGAATCAAAAAAGCACCGGATATGAATAGCTAAAAAATAAGATCCATATTTATTATGGAACTGTGGCAAGATGGCGAACATTGAATTATTCAGATAATTAAAAAATTCTGGAACTCAATTCTCTCATAATTATTATGGGCATAGCTTCGAACTGATGTTACTATATCATGATCTACATTTTAGTTATTCTAGTTACAAATGTAAGTTAATCTCTGTCTGCTCTCTCATGTACTATGTGCATCACCTACACAGAACATGAAAGAAAAATTGAATTCTGCCAACGGGATAAATTCAGGGTTTTATACGATTCTCAGAATAAGCAATAAGCATTTTCCTAAACCACATTTATATCTTACCCTCCATAATAAACACTAATGTGTTTTCCTTTAAGTAGGAACTGAATTTGTTAATACTTTTCATGTGGACTTCAACCGCAGTTCATTAATAAAGCACTAAATGGTGTCACGCAAGCCATTAAGAAATCAACGCCATTGGAACGCGTTTCAGCATACACAACACCATCAAACCACATTAACCTTCAAAAAGACATACTAGTCCTAATTACAGTGTGAAATGACGCGCAGAAGCAATCAACATGGAAATGAATGTGTTCCACAGATAAATTAGAACCGCTATTCAAAATCAGGTTACAAAGGCAGTAAAGATACTCTGCTTTAAACCGAATTTGGTCAATAACGAAACGGTTCTTCCATAGACATACTAATCCCAGCAGTGAACCCAGAGAGCAGCGTGTTGATAATAGCCGAAAAATATGCTAAAGGGAGCATTTGCCCCAAACACATAACTTAAATAGCATTTGAGTTTCTTATAGCAATGATAATGAAGGGTTCTGTCTTCCGGGAAAGACATATCCAGTCGGCTTACGGACAACAATTTACAGTGATAGTGAATGAGCAATCGGACCACATATTGCAAGCGTTTTTCTTGGGGAGCGGGGGACAACCGTAGGTCTAGTAACGTTTACAAATGGCCACGCCATAGCGGTTAGTCGCTGGCTTCCCACCGCGGCGGCCCGGGTTCGATCCCGGCTCTGGTCAAGTGGGATTTGTGGTGGACAAAGTGGCGCTGGGGTAGGTTTTCTCCAAGTACTTCGGTTTCCCTTACCAATCTTCATTCCACCAATTGCTCCACAATCACCCTCACCTATCATCTGGGGCTGGTACAATAGGCCTGAAGTGACCGCAGTACAAGGGACCCAGTCCCACCCCACTAGCAATAAAAGAAACTTTCTACAAATAGAATGGCAAATGAAGCACATAGTAACCCAAAAATGTGTAGGTAGCGACAGCATTCAGAACAAAATCTTAAAAGAAGTTTCTTAGAAAACTAATAAAATTATATCAGATATTATTATCACGGAATTTTTCTCCATTATTCTCAGACATACAGAAATTGTCGAAAATGATAATGCTCCAGAAACCCAAAGAAGACAAAAAGGGGCCTGAAAATTAGAAACCGGACAGCTTAATAAAAGTGATTAGCAAACTTCGGATAGTATTTAATAAAGAAACGCTTGTAGCATTCTGTGCACCAGGCCGCCGCACTGATTTCAGGCCAGACAATCCGAGAAACCTCGTGCTCACAAAAGGGGTCAGACACGTGGATACAATCGCAACAAAGCGACGGTAATCCCACAACTAAACATCCAGCCTGCTTTCAAAAAGCTATAGCTCGAAGTCCTAATACAGATCATGAAAACCATGTCTCCATTTTAATGATAAATTGCCAAGCCTATTCTTAATGAAGCAATGGCAGGATTGGCATACAGGAGTCTACTAAGTCCGGTCCTTTTTATTTCCTCTATTCATTTGCGTTTCATAAATAATTTAATCTCCGCCGGAAGACAACTGCATTACCTTCTATTTCAACTATATTTCTGTAATGATTATGTTCAGTAGACTAAATTAAAAACGGGACGAAATTGTATTTATTATTTCAATTGTAAAAAGTAGTATACTAAGAATCATCTTTATCTTCTACTATTGTACTGGCAGGAACACTGAAATAGCTGAGTTTCCTTCCTATTCTTCTCCTTCATCCACAGCGGCAACATAAAATTGTCACTCTACAAGCAGAGAAAGATCTACAAAAGCTTCTGTTTAATCTACAGCAACAAAAATAAAACTCATGAAATGTCACATTCTCTCTACTTTGGATGTATCATTTATTCTCAGACTGACAACAAGGCAACGAAAAATAGAATGGAATCAGGATATATGTCGGAAGCTGTGAGATAACGAAGGCAGGCAGAAGAACTGCGACACAGTGGCAGTGTCTGCTACTTTACGTGAAAATGAAATTTGCTTTTTAAAGTCAACATGAAATTACTGAAAGAACTTATGACCTACTTTCCTTTAAGTGAAACCATGCATATGATGAAGCTAGTGGCAGACATACTAAGAATAAATATTTATAAAATTCAGTGATCCATTTCTTTACCAAGTCTATACTAGCAACTGTAAATACATTTGTTCCGAAGAAGAGAAAGTATCGGGGCAATGAAGAAAACTGTATAATGACTGCCTTCATAATTTGTACCAAATGCTGTAAATTATTAGGTTAATAAAAATAAGAATTGTGATATGGTAGGGGCATGTAACACTTCGTAGGAAGATGGAAAAAAGAATTTAATACAGATCTAAAAAGAAATAGGTTTTTAGTGTGTAGACTGTATTGAAAATAATTCAGAACAAGTCAAGTGGCGGGTTCCTCCCTCCTAGATTTGGTCATTGTAATCAAGTTTAGCGAAGGGTACAATTTTTGAAGCTCCAACCTTCAATTGGTCTAAGTCTTATCAGCACCCTGTTCTCAAAAACTTTGAATCTGTGTTCTTCCATCAATATGAGAAATAAACTTTAAAGGATTGTGACGATGATGTATACTGTACTTCTTTTGGACTTCATCAATCGTCTGGTATGTAAAAGACAGTGACTGAGACTAGCTCTTTCTAACGGGCGCAACTGAGTAGGTTTATCCTTCCCTACCCACCTGAAGATGAAGACAGATCCAGTCTCCGAAACATCGTGGTCTTTTGTCTTTTACATACTAGACGATGGATGAAGTCCAAAATAAGCCAAAAGAAGTATGAGAAATAAAGTTTTACAATACTCAGAACTGTAAGTAAAATTACAAGGGTTTTTTTTATTTTAATCATTATGTTTTTGACAGAAGACGGAAACTGAATCATGGCAAGAATTCAAGTAATATAACCTGCTATTAATTTCTTCATCAAAGCTGCTTTGATCTACTACTGCCATTGTCAAGTAGTTTAATTGTGACACGTTACCTAACGAAGTGACTAACTCCTGAAGCTGAGTCTCCATGAGAAGTTAATAGATTTATCTGCGAGTCAAGAAATTTCCAGCATTTCATGGAATTCAAATGTTCCTTGCCGTGTTCACAAGAGCCCGACACTAGTCCATACCCTGAGCCAGATAAGTCAAGTCCGCACTCTCAAATTTTATTTCTTTAAGATACAGTTTAATATTTTTCTTCCATCTGTGCCTGGCTCTTACAAGCTGTCTCTTTCTTCAAGATTATTTATTAGAACGTTTGCCACATTTTCGAAGGAAATATAAATTATCTTCATACCACAATATTTTCTTGCAGTTTTGTGAAATTAACATGGGTATTCACTTAGTGTTTCTGTTTACTTTTAGGCCATTCACTGTACGAACTATGAGCACGTTCATTTTAGAAAAATGAGAACTGATATTTGGATTTCATGGGAAATAGCTGACATAATATAAGGAGAAAACCGAATTTAAAGTCTGCCCAATATCATTTATTATAGATATGCTGTACTAAGTTTAATCTAAATTCGCTAAATCGCAGATAAGACATTCAATTCATGTAGTTTGTGAAAAAAATTCCGATATAATTTAGAACAAATTTGGGGAAGATTAATTAGGCCACTCTGTCCGAGAATAATAGAAAGAAACCAACACACAATTTCGAGGTACAATATGTATAAAATATTACTTGCAGTCGATGGTTGGACCTTTGCCACATTCATAATTTTCTGGACACAGTATGCGGTTCAAATAGACCTACATGAACTGGAAACTGGAATAAGAATTTTTATCAGACAATATACGAATTGTTATTTAGAGCTTATGTTTCTGTGGCTGATGACATGTGACTCCATATATTGTTACTACTGCTTCTGCGGAAGCAGGCCAGAATCTAAATTTCCACTGTAGCGTAAACCTCGGATCCCAATAGAATTATGTCCTTTCAAATACGTCTTCGGTTCAACTTTTCTATGAACCGAGCTCAATTAATTCTTCTGTTACACGTCGCATCCTTCTTTTTAGGACCGGAGGTGGGAGTATGCTGGGTGACGTCAACATCTCCGCCATCTTGGACTCCTTCAGCGCAAGTTACGACAAAAGAGTAAGACCGAATTATGGAGGTAAGCTGAACTGTCATTCATTTAAAAATATATTTCATTTAAACATGATTAGTCATGATACAGAATCTTACAACGAGACTCCTTCACTGCAGGACTGCATACAGTGGCTCTGTAGTCCACATTAATGCATTTCACTGCCTCGCCGATATTAAATCTAATGCTCATTATAGGTCGCTGCTTGCTAATGGCTACCACGAAAACAAAATTTGTCATCATTTTCACGAGTTTTCTTCTGATTAATATATATATCTTCGTTATGAATCTCTGCATAAGCAAGGGTATTTTAGATTTTAAAAATTTCATAAAACTTCCGATATTTAACTTGGAGAATATTATGAAATTTATAATATTATCGTTACAAGTCAGTATCGATGCTTGACTGTTTTTATAATTTTAATACTCCAACGTAACTGAAGAAACAAAGTTCATGTGTCAGGTTTAGGTTTCCACTGCTGTGTCTATGAAGAATGGTAATTTCTAGGGTACAAGTATAGGCGTGTATTTCGGTAGAAGTTTTACGAAGTTGAACACTACCGTACTGCCTCTTTCTTCAGTGTCGAACAGAGAGATGAATAAACAAATAAGAACTTAGGAGAACTTATTAAGTAACAATTTGAGTGCTCAATATCCTAGCTAGGCTTGCGTACTACTCCTCAATGTTAGAGCTGTCAGCTTGTTCAGTACTTCCGGTTTCGCCACTTCATTCCCAAATGTTCATAAATTTATAATTTAATTATTATAGCTGGTAATTTATAATGCATGTGTAACTTCTCGCTATAGGAGAAGGTAGAATTTAAATTTATGGAACTTGAATTACAAAGTGGTTATATTTACCTTTAAAATTTTAGAATAAGAAAGTTCTCTTGGAGAAATATACTACCACATGTGTCTGATCTTCTGTAATACGAATAGCCTTTATTATGAAATTGCTGAAAGCCTTATAAATAAGGATAATTCTTGGTCAAATAATTTCCTCGTGCTGATATGCACAATATAGAAACTAGTTTATGAAAACTGAGCGAATTAACTACGATAAACACAACTGAATAGGAACAGGAACAAGTCTCGCTGGAAGACTAATTTCGACGGTATGTACCTGAATTAGTCTGTCTAGTATTAAGAACAAATTCCATCACTCATGTACATGAGCAGTTCGAGATTCTTCGAAGTTCATCAGTCTTAAAACCTTCAGATAAAAAACTCAGTGGATTTAGTCCGCAAGCGAACTATACCGACCGAACGACCGCCGCTTGTCGGCGAAGTTAGTACCAACTTTAGCGGATAGAGGGTGTCGCGTGGTCAGTGCAACGGATCCCCACGGCCGTTAATCTCGGTTTTCTAGACTGGAGCCGCTACTTCCTTGAAATAACTCCTCAGTTATCCTCACGAGGCTGAGTGGAGCCCGTTCCAGACCCACTACTTCTCAGAAAATCTGGTAGCGCCGAGAATCAAAACCGGGACCTCTGGATCTGTAGCCAGGAACTCTGACCACTAGACCACAGAGGCGGTCCAAAACCTTCAGATATCAGCACTAAATTAAATTAATATTATTTATTATAATAAGAATATTCATACTGAATTTATTATGGCGTCTTTGTTTATTTATTTCAGTTAAAAAGATTTTTCTCCCAGCAAATATACTCTCAGGCTGCTAGTTTCTGTAACGCCTCTGCAGCATTGCGCCAAATCAGTCGCTTTCCTCGTTCCTTCTTCCCTTAGAAAAACGCAAATGAAATATTTTATTCAAGTCGAAGGTATTTAAATGCAGTTGGCTTGAAAGCAGTGGCATGAAAGCTTTACAAGAAGTGATTCATATGATAGACATAACAATATAGAAGATAAATATGCAACAGAAAGGAAAAAGGGAGAGAAGACAGAAATAAAATGAATGACAGACAAAATGGAGTTGCGGAAATTAAAGAAAATGAAGTTGTACATTTGTTTGATTCTGACGTAATTTTCCGCTCTGTGTCAACTGCAGAAGTGAGATAGCGTGCAGTGGAGTGCAGTGCAGTGAATGTGTTTAATGTATCGGGCGGAATGCAGGGGAAACCGTCGTGGTCTAAATTTATGTATGTATCACGGCATTCTTCGGAAGATACTAAGAAACAGAATGCTCAGAAAATGCGGTATTCGAACCAGGTACATCCTGATTGCGAGTCAGACGAAATGCCAGCGCTCAGCAATTAAGACGGAGATAGGAAGCAGAAGGAGATCCTAAGGGCCGGAAGAGAGATAGGGAAACTGGAAAAGAAAAGAGGGGTTGAGGAGTGGAGGGGCACAAAGCCATTGCATCAATCAGTTTGCAACCCCATACTCCACTTCACTTGCTGAGATGAATATGTCCACTCGAGCAGAAGTCCTGAGTTCATGGGGGGTGAGAGAACTGGAGTGGGCGGAAGTGTAGGGTAAAGTGGTTATCGCATTATATTCCGGCCACTACACAGATCATATATATCCTTGCAAATGCGAGTAGAAAACAGAACACTACTGTTAAGAGTAGGTCAGTGTTTCTCGATGGGGCGCCGGACTGCCTTAACTACTTCCGTTGAAGTAATGAAGATTGAAATAGAAAACTATAAATTTACACGTTGTTTTACATTGGCGTGTTCTTTCACTCTATATGATTCATGATTCAAGATATGTGAGTACAGGGTGCTCAAGATTCCTGGGTACAGGGTGCTCAAGAGGACATTTTGGACTAAGCGGGAGGAAGTATCACATGGATAAAGCTGCATAATTAAAATCCCACAAAAACTTCATGAAATATTTTAAGACCCAAAGAAAATGACATGGGCGGAACACGTAGCATGAATGGAAGGAATGAAGAATACGTACAACATTTTTGACAGAAGAATGAGACGTAGGAGAGGATAATGTTAGATTTGGTCTTCAAGAATCTGGATGTGAGTGTGTGTATTGGATCCGTCTCAATAAAAGTTAGGGACCAGTGATGGGCGCTTGTGTACACGGTAGTAGGACATAGGCTTGCATAACAGGCGCTAAATTTCTTCACTAACTGGAGTAATACATTATGTAAGATTTGAGTTTTCACGGCGGTGACTATGAAGAAAGTAGTCTTCTGGGATATGACGCCGTGTAGAAGTTGTGTTAACCGACATTTCGGAGGAACGTATCGCCTCCATCTTCAGGGTAGAAGACAAGAAGATGGAGGCGATACATTCCTCATAAACGTCGGTTAACACAACTTCTACACGGCGCCACATCCAAGAAGACTGCTTTCTTGTATTAGATTCTCAAGAATGGCCCTGCTCAGTATAATTACTAAATAATACTTTCTATATTCACTTCAGGAGTTGCAAAAGATAATCTAACAAGGGGTCCGGACAGAAAGGCCAGGCCTGTGGTCCAGGCAGGATACTTCGGGAACTCAGAGGTAGAGTAACATGTTCTGGGTGTCGATGCCGAGGCACGAGATACGAATCAGCTGGGCGAAACACACAGGCCTACTCCCAAAACAAAAATGTAGTCCGCATGTTTATATTCTTGTATCAGATACTTGATTTATTTCATGGAACCGCGTCACATATATAAGTGCGTATATAAAGAAGAGTGTTTGTCAGTCTGTTTGTTTGTTCTTTATACATTTCCACATTGTTGCACATCTTCCCACTGAATTCAGTGCGGTGAGAGAGGACCTGCCGGAGGAGGTTTTAGAGAGAGAGAATTGTGTGTGGGGGAAGGGGGAGGGGCTGAGAAGCGTGTCGCCATCCGTGGTTATATTCGCCTGTGTAGAAATCAAATTGGAAAATTTTGTATAACACAGTATAAAATTAATTGAAAATAGACCTTTGTCAGATGGTCAAATATTTGGATTAGGCTCAGGAAGAAGAAAAATAAATATTATATTAAATATCTTTATACAACAGAATTTAAAACCCATAATACCATAATAAATGGCTGAAACGTGAGATAAAAGAGCCAATTAAATCAAATGGCCAGTCTCTATACTACGAAGGAACGCCACGATATTCGCTTCGTCACTGCGATTGCCCAAGATTGAGATATTTTAAATTTTATTTATTGTCACTGGTGGTCCAAACGTGAAATATCCTCGAAACAAATTTCAAGGATCAGACGGATTTTAATACAGTTCGGTATTCAGCAGCCAGCAATGGTTCACCGAGCAATAATGAATCTCACTGTCAGGAATAAGTAATAATGGTCATTCTACCAATTTCTTTTAGAGATCAGTTCTAGGAGGATACCATATTGTCTTGAATAGACTGTAGTTTCTTTTAGATGCTGCTTCTTAGAAAAGAGTGGTCGCTTTTTTGCAGGTTCTTAAGAATAAATATGTAGATTATTATAAAGTTCTAATTACTAATTCTAATAATAATTGTTAAAATATGTTGAATTTTATATAATGTATTACATTTTTAATGTATTATTTCTTAATAGTATAGTTTTTAATTATTTTTGTTACAATACTCAGAACTAAATTATATGCTCAATTTTGTCTAAAGGAATATGATTTTTTTTATTTAAAGAATAAGGAGTCGCCTTAATTCCGGCTTAAACGGTATTTATTATAAATTTTTGTGTATGAATATTCACGCTAAGCTCGGGCAACACCGAACAAATCAGCTAGTGCCCTGCCCGAGAGGAGTTGCTACATACAAGGGGAAAGCCGGACTAAAGATGAATATTTGGTTCATATTTCTTCCTTCCCTATTTAATCTACTTGTGGATCGTGGCTGTAACTTTCCTTGCGTATAACCGATAGCCTCGCCCGATATGAAATACAATACAGACGAACAGAAATGAAATCGTTGCGTGGTTTTGTCAGCATGAGATTGGGTGGGGCTGCCTGAAGCTAGCGGGCCTCTTGCAATTGTATCGATCGGGTATCGCTGGGTTCCAAGACCGACACCAGGGCAGGGCACAGCAGTTGGAAAGATGAGCAAAGCGCATGCGCCAGGTCATTCTATATCTCTGGTGATGCTCTCAAAAGCAACCTCTTCGTGCTTGGTTCTTCG